GTTTGCGGTTTGTGCGGATAGGGTTTGCAAATGTACGGGCGGTTGCGGGCGGTTTGCGGTTTACACTTTTTTCTTTAAAAATTAATTTTTGAGTTTTTTTTCCCAGCAAATTTAGGCATCAAATTCATTTTATATATTTGTGATAACAATTTTTTGATGAGTTTACAAATAAAAATTGAATATCAATGCATTAAATGAAAGTACCAAAAACAAAGAAACCCTACACTAGCATTTTTGTCATGAAAAAAATGTATATCAATGCATTAAAGGTTGTACTCAATTAGAATTGTCAGTTCAGTAATCAATAATCAAACTATAAGTTCTATCGACCATTAGAAGAAAAATTTTATTAGGAAAAAGTGGATGAATCACCAATGAAAATCATATAAGAAACCAAGTTTAGGACTTGATAATTCTACGACATTAAGAAAGTTGAGAAATACTTAAAAATAAGGATCCTAGTGTCATAGATAATATAATGGTGCTCCAGTAAAAGTTACAAAGTTGGTATATAAAAAATAATAATAATAATAATAATTAAAGTGCGGGCGGTTTTGCGGGTTGCGGGTTTAAACCGCGACCCGCCCGCAACCCGCAAATTTGTCATATTTCAAACCGCATCCGCCCGCATTATGATTGCGAAACCGCCCATTTATATGCGGGTTGGGCGGATTGGGCGGTTTGAGCGGTTCGGATAAACCGTTGCCCACCCCTAATTGACACTTGTCTAGGGACCAAAGTGAGATTTGTCCAAAAGTATAGGGGGATTGACTGTTACAATTTCATGTGCAATGACCAAAGTGGAATTTGACCAGAAGTACAAGGGATTGACTACCATGATTTCATGTGTAGAGACCAAAGTAAGATTTGATGCAAAGTGAAATTTAACCCAATAAAATTTATTTTGTTTTTTAATTAAAAAAGTGAAGTAGGTGATGTGATGTGATATGTCCTGTGTAAAAAGAGAGGAGAGAGAAAAAGTGCATGTGTGTGACATGTGTTGGGAGAGGTGAGTGTGTCCGTGTGTATAAGGGTAAACTAATCTTTTTGACATAAGCATTAATGGCGTGATGATTGTATATTAGTCCAAAATCATAGCAGAAGTGTTTATATATTTTCAAACGTCAAAAGGGTCATTTGCAACCGTCCAAAATCACAAGAAGGTTAAGTACTTTTTTGCCTAATATATATATTTTTAAAGTTAATTATATCAACACCTTTTAATTATTAAAAAATATTATTTTACTTTTATGAATCCGTATGATGTCTATGGCCCAATCTAACCATTAGCCAAACAAGTGCCCTGACCAGGTCCTAAACCAAATAAATCAGCTTAGTCGGCCAAGACTGCTAACCACGTTAGAGGGTCGATTCCTCACAAACCACAAGGGCAATATGAAACGTGCAGACAAGTACGACTGAAGGTTCCACTTACCACTTAACCCTGCAAAAATCATAGGGCACAAGACCCTAGAAAGATACGCCACACGAGAGGTGCACTCTGAATCCATCTAAGGTAAGCACAACAAAGAAGGTAAAAAGAGAAGAAACCCTATTCATGCACAAACATATTATCTATCTTTTTTACTCTTGAATCAAGAACACTAACTTGATTGTCGGGGGACTTGAGAGGAAGATACCCACCTATGAATCCTCGTGAGTTTGTTTTGCAAGATTACCAGACAAGAGCTTGGGTTCGACAAGTTGGGTCAGCTCAATTTCATCAAGAATAGGGAAGTGAGTTTAAATTGATGCTTACGAGAGGAGTATGGATAGATGTGGATCCAAATTCAAACTCACATAAATGATTTGAATTGTTTATTTTGTAAGTTCCGTAATAAAAGTCATCCATGTAAAAAATAATTTCATCAGACATCTATAAATATAAGAATAAATCACATTTTGTTTTATAAAATAAATAACAAATATGATTGTAAACTTAAATCATTCATTTTGTAAAATAAAACGTGATTTGCTTTTGTGTTTATAGTTATTCGATAAACTTAATTTTTTGTATGAATAACTTTTACTGTGAAACATATGAAGATTGATGATTTGGATCATCAAAGTGAGTTCGAATTAAAACCCATAAGAGGTGTATGGATGGGTATGGAGAGATGAAATATGGAGAGGAGTTGATCCGTCCCAAATAATCCCAATATTACAAAATTAGTGAATTTTTTTTTTAAGAATTGGTGTGATAAATATTTTTTTAGTTGTTTTTTTGGTTTTAAAATTGTTAAATTGAAGTTAATGTTAAAAAAGAGAGAAGCACCAATAAATATCATTTTCATATCTTAGTAACCAATAAGTCTTCCAAATAATCTAATGAACCCAATAGTCCCATTTTTGTGGAAATGACAGTATAACCCTATAGTTTTCACGCGTGGATGCTAGTTAATACCCATAAATGAATGAAATCCCCACAGTTAGAAATTACATATTTGCTCAAAACTTACTAAGGGATTTTTGTAGTATTTTTGGAATGTTTGAATAATTTCATATTTTAAGCCATTGTAAATCAAACGGATTCCCATATTAGAATCCATCCCAAATGTGAATACCCACACCACAACCCAAAAATGTTTTCATATTAGAAGATTTTATGCTCAATGGAAATCAATGTGCACGTACACAATGTTTCTCCCTTTTTTTTTTGATAGCATGTTTAATGTGAAATAATGTGGACTTGCATAGTGTGATATTGTGTTTTTTTTTTTGGGTGTGCAAGGCATTTGTGCCATTAGATTCACTCAATTAAATTTCACAAAATAATAAGTTGCATATCTTAATTTTCTCGCATAAAAGAAAAAATAAGAAAACGTAATGGAAATAAGAGCATAACTATAAACTCAATTTCTAAATAGTATATTAAATTCATTTTTTTAAAATCAATGGAACTAATTGATTTATAAAAAAATCTTTAAGACTAAACGTATAACCATTGCTCAAGATGAGATTTATGAATAAATTTTTTATACAAAAATGATATGACTACTAAATGTTAAAAACAAATTACCTTTTGTTATTGAAAAAGTTCAGGTTGAATTTAATTTTTTTTGTCCTTAATAAAATTTTTATTTTTATTTTTCTAGATAAAAGATTTAAAAAAAAAAAATCACTTAAGAAAAACATTCGAAAATAATTTGTTAACACTTGTCAAATATTATGAGTTTTGTTTCCCCCTTTTTGTCACATGTAAAATCGAAACAAAATCACAAAGTTCTTTTTAGCTTAAATAGTTAAATGTCACTTTTTTAGTCTAAACCAGAGCCGTATCATATTGAGGTAGAGTAAGAATTTCATAAATTATATATATTTTTATTATTTTGAAATTAAATTATGATTTTGGATTTTATTGAACAGTCTAGATTTTTTAGTCCTTTCCTATACTATCGATGCGCAACATATTAAAAAAAAGTTGTTAAGCATGATAAAATTGATAAGTAGAGTCAATTTCAATGATAAATAAGAATGACGATTTATTATTGTAATTTTATAAAGAATGGAAAATTAAAAATTTTATTTTATTTGATTCTAAACATACTTACGGTTTATTTTTTTTAGAGACAAATATAATAAAATAAATATGCTATAATTATTGGTCAACTTGATTTTTTTTATTTTTTTATTTTTATAAATGCTATACACAAAGAGCTCTAAAAAATAAATGATTTGGATTATCGAAATAAAACCCGTAATGAATTTCACTGACCCAAGCAATACCTCTCCAATCCAAATCTGGACTTGAGAGAATCCAATCCTAAAAGAAAATACTATAAAAAAATATATATATAGAAGTTCACAGAGAAATAAAATTACATTTTTTTTTTCCTTCTAAAAATGTTTCATGTGACAGCCACATAATAAATCACAATAGGCAATTTAACGGCAAGTTGTCCCTTTTTTTTAAAAAAAAATTTAAACTAAAATAGTCTATAAAGACAAAATAAGTTAAAATAATCAACAAGATAAAATGTTTCATTTAAATCATAATTATTTTAGTAGTGTTTGGTAGAGTTTTATAATTATAATTTGAGAATAAAGTTATATTTTGAGTTTGTAAGTTTTGGAATTATGATTTGAAAAGAAAAAATTTGTTTGGTTATGAGTTTTATATTTTTGATGTGACATATAAAATGAAAAAAGTTGTTTGATTATGAGTTTTGAAAAACTTAATTGAAAAACTTATAACTCATAATCAAACATACAACTCAAAATTTTATTGAAAATTCTATTCAAAACTTATAATCAAATTTTTTTTTAAAATTTAATTTCAAAAAATAATTTGTCATTTTGATCTAAAAAAATAATTTATATATTTAAAAAATATCAAAACAAATATATATATATATATATATATTTTTTTTCAAATAACAGGTGGCGATTGGCAATTGTAAAAAAAAATTTACAAAAAAAATACAGTATTGTTCCGGTCAACTGGGTAAACCAAAAATTTAAAAATTATCTGCTTTATCAAACATGTTTTCAAAATGTATTTTAAAATTGATTTGGAATAATAATTTGAAAATTCAAACCCAACATAGCATTAGAATGTAAGAGTGGAATTAATTTTACAAAAGTCTAACAAACATAGCTTTTATTTTTTCTCTCATAATCATCAAATCAACTATCAAAAAAAGTTTACTAATTTTTTAAACACAATTTTTTTAATCAATTTAAAATAAATAAAAAAATTAAATAACTAACTTCTCAAACGGGCCCAAAATATCATATTGCACCTTACAACCATACTGCAGACCTCCGGTGGGGTCGCACCCCCAGTGAGGTGACGAGCCCCCACTGACTGAAACTCAAAAAAAAAATAAAAATAAAATAAAACAATTTTTTTTTACCCAATCATGACACGCCACCTCAGTGGGGGTCGACCCCCAGTGGGGTCCGAAGCATTTTTCTTGCACCTTAATCGATAATATTGATAATAACAATTGAAAAATAAGATTCCAAAGTGTGATTTAACCTCAAATACAGGGTTCAAAATGTAATATAGGCAAAACAATAAAACCCACATCGAAGAAATTAGAAACCAGAGAGGTTTTAGGAAGAAGATCAAGAAGAAGAGAATGTCGAAGTCTTGCAAGGGCCTAGCAATGGAACTGGTCAAGTGTCTCAGCGAGTCCGACTGTGTTAAGGTACCTCTTCTATACACTCCCACATATATATATGTATATCTTGTATGTATATGATACAATCACAAGAAATCTACATAAACTTGATTAGCTCTTGTTTACACAAAGTCTCAAAAAACCCTTTATCAATACTCCTAGATTTTAAGGATAAATCCTATTTCCTAGATTCTAAGGATAAATCATATTGATCTTGCCTTGTTTTGTAGCTATTTGCATAAGATTTCATTGAAAAGAGGGCTTTTTTTTTTTTAATTATAAATTATTCATTCTGGTTGGTTGAACTATTGGATTCCAAGGAAAGAAACTTGTAAATTGCTAATTTAAGTAAAAAAAAAAATTTACCCAATTGGATTTGGGATTTTGAGCTCAGCAAGACCCAATGGTGTAATTTGTTGATTGTTTGTCAATTCTTCAAGTAGATGTAGACATCAGATTAATGTTGGGGCATGGTGAGAGGTCTGATTGGTTTCAGCTAAGATGTTGTTCTGCATCAATGAAAATTGAGATTATAGAAATATACTCATTTTTTCGTGGTTATGTATGCATGTATGTGTATATATAATTTAGATGAATGTTTAGATCTCTCTTGACATAAGGTTAAAACCTTTACATGGGTTGCTTTTTTTTCATTTAGGTTGAGAATCGACCATATAGGGAATGTGCCAAGGAGAAGAGCCCATCCATATCAAGCGAATGCATGGGACTACGGGAAACATATTTCAATTGCAAGAGAGGCCAGGCATGTTTTATTCATCCTAGTTTATGTTACAAGTAGCATTCCTTTATTTCAATAGTTTGATTAGTTTGTTTCTAAAATTTAGTGTAGGCTATTCAAGTCTGCTTTTGACATATTGCAAACTAGGATACAATCAAAGTGATAACTGATAATGAGCATGCTTTTCCACCGACCCCCACTAATTTTGAAGCCTCATCTATTAGCTGTATGTTTGAGATTACTCTCTTGGTCTGTAGTTTTGCATGTATTGTTATTTGAATTGTGAATTTTATCATGAATAATAAGTTATGACCTCTATAACCTCTGTTTGTGGCCTTTTTGAAAACTTCAAAGAAAGCTTGATTAATTTGGTGTGCATATGTCCATCATGAATAGAGATTGTGAGATCACTATTATGTCAGCTTCTTTCTTCTCTTTTGAGTTTCAATCTATTCTTAAATCTAAATTTATTCACTATTTTTCATTTTTTTTTAGGTACTTTTGTAGAGTCCAAAGTATTATATTATTGAACTTTTCTTCTCCACCCTTTTTGATGAAATGCAATATTTTTACTATTGAGTTTTCTATTGTATAATTTTATATTTACATTTTACATGGAGCACTATATTTTTTACAATATTATCACATCTTTTTGTATATTTTAAGCTTATTTTGTGTATACTTTCTAGAAATGTTTATTCAAATTAAATTATTATACAAATTTTCTTTTTTAGTAGGATACGATCCTCGATTCTACAGTCCGATCTAGTAAATCCTTCCATACGATTCAATGTAGGATCCCGATTTTGACAACCTTGACCCTTACAGCCATAGACTCATAAGAACATGGCAGATAGTTAATCATTCTTGTTGTTTCTTTCCTGAACCTTTCCAACTGCAGATTGCTGTCCCCAATTTTGTTAAGCTATGTGTAGATAAAAGCCAATGTGTAGGCCAATCCGCCTGTCATTTTTTCTTACCGTATATTCAAATAATATATGTAGGGCAGTGATAGACGATATTGTGTTAGTGGATGAGACTAGAGAAGGAGTTAACACCAAGTTGGAGATTTGGAGAAAAGCATTTGAATTTAAAGGATTTAGGATAAGCAGAATTAAGACAGAGTCTATGGAGTGTAAGTTTAGTAACAGTCAAAATGAAAGCAGAGGAGAAGTGAAAATTGAGAACAAAAAATTACCTGAGAATGAATATTTTCGTTATTTAGGATTAATTATCACAACGACTGGGGAGATTGGAGTGGATGTGATCCACAGAATTAAGGCTAAATGGCTTAAGTGGAGGAGTGCGATTGGAGTGCTGTGCAATAAACGAGTACTCATTAGACTGAAAGGGAAGTTCTATAGAATGGCTATTAGACCAGTGATGTTGTATAGGACGGAATATTGGGCAACTAAGAAATAACATGTAGAGAAGATGAGTGTTGCTGAGATGAGGATGCTAAGGTGGATGTGTGGCAAGACTAGAAAAGATAGAGTTAGGAATGAGTATATTCGAGAATGAGTAGGAATAGTACCGATAGAAGATAAGTTGAGAGATAATAGATTGAGATGGTTTGGTCATATACAACGGAGACCAACAAAGGTAGTAGTGAAGAGATGTGATACAGTGATGGTAGATGGTAGTGTTAGGGAAAAGGGTAGACCTAGATTGACGTGAACTAGTGTAATAAATAGATATATGAATCTTCTTAATTTGACTAACGAAATGGCTTTGGATAGAGTTGAATGAAGAAGGAGTCATGCAGCCGACCCCATTTGATGGGACTTAAGGCTTGGCTTGGTTTGGTTTGGTTTGGTTTGATCAATGTCGCTTGTATTGCTCAATCAGTGAATAATGTTGCTCTGGATTAGAAGTGATTTTGTCTGATCAGTTTGGTGGGGAATGTACTAAAAATGTATATAAGGTGTTCACGCACATCTGGGCCTCAAACCCATTACCTATCATAATAAATAAATGACTTGTATATTCACATGCTATTGGAGTAAGAAGTGCCATTTCAAGTGCCTTAACATTTCATTTTCTTTTCAAAATCCATTTTCTCTTTCCTCATTTCCTTGCATGTGCTTTTTGCCTATCACTCTATAATTCTAGGGTTGGAGAAAAAATTGGGCGGCGGTTTTTGCTACTGGATTTAGAAAGGAATCGTACTGCAATTGGAAGTTAGTTCAAAGTGCTGAACTTCTGATTCTATATATAGTTACAGGGTTTGGATGAACTGTCACTTGCTTGCTGGTTTAGGGGAAATAAATTTTCTTTGCATGATTTTTATTTTTTGGAAGTGGAAATTTGTATAAAAAGTGAAGGGTGTAGATGTTATAAATAAATTTGGGGTGCAGGGTTGGAGCATTTACAAGTCTTTACTTCACTGGATATTTGGGGATAAAAGCTGAGTGCTTTGCTTGAGTCTTGAGGTACTTGTTTAAACTGAATGATGACTTGTAACTGATAATGAGAGTAGAGGGACATTCTTTTATATGTACAGAACAGATGATTGTGGACGAATCTGCAAGGACCATTCAGAGTTTCTCACTGCCAATTCTGTAAATATATATATACGTGCCGACCCCATTTGATGGGACTTAAGGCTTGGTTTGGTTGGTTGGTACATATATATATATATATAAGTAAATCTGGAATCTGATTATTGTAAAACTTCATTGTTGTTAGGGCATCCACAATGGGATGGCTAAAAAAGTGTATTAAAGTGTGTTATATGACAAAAAGTAATAAAAATGGGGCCTAAAAATGTTTGTTAAGATGTGTTAAGAGTTTGTTAATTTTAGAGAGTGAGTGGTGGTGCAATGGATGTGTTAAGGTGTGGGTTAAATATATATACGTGTGTGTGTGTATAATAAATAACATAAATAAATAATTTAGTTTAATAAAAAATTTCAAGTCCAAAATTAAATTTTAAGTCCAAAAAAAAATCCCAACAAGTATAAAAAAAATAAAAATGAAATAAAAATTGCCGTTGACCGGTCAACCGGCCGGACATCCGGCCGGTCAACTTGTAACACAAACAAACGCACTCATTCGCTAGCTAAAACGCTAGCGGCAGATAACAAACAAATTAACACACACCACTAACACACACGCTAACAGCTCCATTACAGCCCCAAACAATACCCTCAGTTAGCCAAAATTTAGCACCTGACACTAACACACTAGTTAGTGTGTCTATTGTGGATGCTCTTAGCTAGGTGCCACTTTAAAATTCTTTCTCCAGAACTGATTTAACTATGCTACGAAATTTAACTGCGAAATTTCTAAATGGGGATTATTACATAAGTTACCGGTCCATATTCAGTATTTAAAAAGTTGAATTTAATATTATTTGGAGTAATCAATGACAACAACAACAATGAGGTGTGGTAACTATTGCTTTTGTGTCATTCATCATTAACTAAAAGAGCATTTTGCATCAAGGCATCCTTTTTCTGCTGAGAATGTGAAGGAGAAAACCACGCTTTGCGTGGATTCAGAATTAGTCGAGATCATAATTGTCAAATCGGGATTCGTATCGTGAATCAAAATGATTTCGTACCGAATCGCGAATCGAATCGAATCGTGAATCGTAAAAATTCGGTCACTTCTTCTAAATTATTTAAAAACATATATTTACACATTTAGATGTTAAATATATCTTATGAATATAAAATATTTAGACTTAAATCAATAAAAATGTTATTTTGAATGATAATCACATAGTTTAATAAGTAAGAATTTAACAAACATTCCTATGTAAGATCACCATCTTACTTTTTTTTCTTTTTTAGATATTTCTTATCAACCATTCTTAATAAAAATAATAACCAAATAGACAAACTATCAATTTGTAAAGTAACAATAATTAACAACGATATTGATATTTTGACAATAACCATACATACTTTTCTAAGTAACAGTGAGCAAATAATAAGAAAGAATCATTTAGAATCTTTTTTTTTAAAGCCTAAAATATTTTAAAAAGTATAATTTACCTCATAGATGTAATATTTAATTTAATAAAATAGCAATAGATAATTCATAGTGTAATTTTAATCTTAAACATCTTTAGAAGATATATTACGATTTTTAAAAGGAAAAAAAAAAATGAGAAGAAAAGTTAAAAATATGTTAGGTCTGACTAAATCTAATTGGATGCTATTAAAAACTTCATGATCACTAAAATAATAGCAAATCATGTATATATGCTGGTTATTTTGATATTAAACGCTATTAGAAGTTGTATTATGTCATTTTTACTAAAAAGATGGAGGAAAAATAGAGTCGAAGATATATCAGACATAATAATTTTAAAAATTGCATGAATCGTAAAAAGTGAATCGAATCGTGAATCGATTGTGAATCGTGCGATTCACTAGAGATTCAGTTCCAAAATAGATTCACCCTTAGATTCGTATCGATTTTGCAAAAATTACGAATCGAATCGTGAATCGAATCGCGAATCGTAAGATTCTGATAACAGAGGTCGAGATGCACGTAAGCTGGCCCGGACACCCGGTCATACAAAAAAAAATATGTGAAGGAGAAATCTGAAATCTGACATCTTACTAGCTTTTGGGGTGTTATACATTGACGAAGCTTTTAGAGGTTTTCTTTTCTTTGTCCATCTTCTAGGCATTCCAAGTATCACCAAAAAAAATGTTACTTAAAAGCATTGATGCCACTCACATGCACCTGGGTATCTAGAGCTTTAAATGCATAAGTTATCTTCATCAGTATAGACTGTTTGGCACCATATGCTTTGTCTAAAAGGGTTACATCTATCTAATTTCAAAGAAAACCTGTTCTGGTCATGGGTTGAAATATTGCTAATGCTAGCAATAAGGAGAGCAAGAAAAAGTAAAATTAAAGAGGCAGACATTTTTGGAAATTGATTGGTTTCAAGTGAAACGCAATTGAGACCAATTAGAACTACGCATTAACAAGATTTTTAGCCTTATAGGAGTCTTCTTTTAGGATTATTTGGGTTGCAATTAAATCTGATTATATATATTTTATTTATGTTATGTTTCATAGGTTATGGTAATTTTGTTAATTTTTGAATTTTTTGGAATGAGTTGTAAAGGTCACCCATGTGCCATCATATGGGTGGTTATTATTTACGGGTCTTATCTAGTTTTAGTTAAGTTTTAGAATTCAATAGTCTTAATTTCCAAATAATGGGGTGGACATGGGTGGATCGAATTAAACCTGGACTCGATGAAGGTGAAGTGTGTATTGGACCGAGCCCGTCCTTGCCTAATGTCAGGCCTAAATAATTTGTCCCAAGCCTGGCCCTAAGAAGTTATACTTTGCTTAAGCCCGCCCATTTTAGCCAAGAAAATTATAAAACTAAAGTAATTAATAATTTAAACTAAACACAAGTTGTTTGGTAGTCACAATAGCAACTTGATTCACTTTTATAAGAGTGGTCTATTATTCAAACCATGTGAGGTAAGACTTAAATTATTTGTTTTCCTAATTTAAATTTTAAAAAAATAAAACAAATGAATTGGCAACATATACTGTTTATAACAAATGTTTGGGCTAGGTCAGGCCTCAAAGGCATCACTACTACGCCTCTATTTTTGAGCAATACTTGCCCATGAATAACACAACTAGTGATCAAAGCAGATTGTCAATCACACCATGACAGCCAAATCTATACAACATAAATCAAAAAATGGATGATCAAATGGCTTTGGAACACTTCAGTCATGTTGTTGATCATTTTCTCACAGCATTGTGACCAGATAATTGGCAGGCTGTTAGATGCTTTATGGGTTTTGAATTGGACCAATTACTGCCCTGATCTTTGAGGGCCTAGAGTCTCCATTGGCTTAGAAAAAAGTTATCTTTGGACTATTGTTCTACACAGTTACTAGGGTTGCAAATGAATCGAGTTGTTCATGAGCTTGGCTCAGTAAGGGCTTAGCTCGACTTGGTTCATTAAGTAAATAAATGAACTCGAGCTAGACTTTTAGGTTCGCTTAATAATTAAGCTGAGCTCGTGCTTGAATAAGCTCGGGTTGATTGTAAGAAGCATGGGCAAGTGACACAACATGGATACGTTGACACATAAATTTTCAAAAAATGAAGGATACGATACGTGGGAGACACGTGTAAAATATATAATTTTATATATCTATTATACATCATATATAAGGACAAATAATTATTATATATCAAATATATGAATATTTAAATCAAAGATAATAATTTTTGAAGTTTAAAGGGGGAGAATATAAATTTACATTATTTTTATTTTCACATTAGGTTACAAGTTATTTTATTGAAATTTGTAATGTGTGTCATGTGTGTGTAAGTGTTAGGAAGTGTTGTGTCGTGTTGGTGTCGGACACAACGCGACACGACACGTTACCTTCTTAGAAGTGTCTGCGCTTCTTAGGCTTAATTATTATTTATATAAATATATTATTTAAATAATGTAAATAATAGTAAAAAAATAAATCATTATCGAGCTTCGACCCAACAAGCAGAGCCGAGCCAAGCCGAGCTTGAGTCTTGCAAAGCTCGGCTCGCTCGTTTGCAGCCTTGATTGTCACGGGATAGTTGAGCTTCAGTTATTTCGGATCAACAATTCTAATACCACCACCCCTCTTGCAGGTGATTGCCTGGTTTATAATTATACATTTTTATCATTTGCTGCCTTCTTTAAACCTTGTAAACTTTTCTGGTTAAATTTCCATAAACTCACCATATCTTCCTACTTTTCGTTTTCAGGTCGACATGAGAGCTCGAATTCGTGGAAATAAAGGCTACTAACTGGTGGGGATTCGGATTGAATCCTGTGAACTTCAATTGACCAAGCTTGATGCACTGTACCTTTGGATTCTCTTGCCAACTTCACTGAATGTACGAGGAAAGTATTGTGAAACTATGATGCCTTGTGAAAGCCGTTGCACATGCATTTTCAGGGAACACCTCCAGAAGAGTGATTGTCTTTAACTGAGGTTTTTTGTCTGTCTGATTGACACTCTTCATACTTGGTGTTAATCATATTCATAGATAAAATTTTGCTGTATGGTTGTTATATGATTCCGTGTGATCTTTTAAAACAAACAATTCCATCTAGAGGAATGAGCATGTAATAACATCAGGTTCCTATTAAGCGGATTCTATAGAGGGTCACTGGACAGCATGCTCTCTGTGTTTCTTGTACCGAAATTTGTGTGCTGAATGAATGTCATCGAGCAAGCATAATTGTATGCTTTGTGGATTGGCGACTATGATGTTGCATTATGGGGAAACAGTGACATTGGTTATAATATTAGAAAGCTCTGAACCCCCAAAAGCTAAACCCTTTTCAGATGCTATTTCATTAAATTTCTTCATTACAATAACCACCTTTGTATGCATTGAAAATGTTGCATTTCACATAAATAGGTGTAATCTGTACTTGCATTGAGTGTGATTTTCATTTGCAATCCATAGTTCACACCTGTGGAGTGGGAAGATGCGGTGTCACAAGGGGAAGGAGAGGCTCCGGTGGCTAGTGTTTTGGGAGAGGTGTTGGGTGGTGGAGTTGGGGAAGACGAAGGTGGCCAGAGGGTGGCAGTGTCAGTGATGGGGAAAGGTGGGGCCAGTGGTCGACTATAGTAGATTTGCAGAGAAAGAATGGAATGAGGAGCACTTTTGCCTCCCATACTTCAGCTTCAATGGGTCTGAATTTTTTTCCCATAATTCATGAAAGTAAAAGAATTATTTATTCATTTATTTTTATTTCTTCAAGAAAAACTAGGTTTGAATGTTGTTAAGGGTTTGAATATTCATATTCATCAAAATCTTGAGTTCCAAAATATTTGAGAAATATCATTATATTTTGGTTTGATTTTTAAATTTGTGACAATCTTCTCTGTGAACAAAAATTTTATATAAAAAAAAGACATCTAAAATGACATGTCAATAACATTTAAAATGAAGACAATTTTATATACAAATTGACGTAGTTTTTTTTAGACCGTCCATTTTTTTTCAAGCAAATTAGGCTTTACACCCCTACATTTTATATTCAATCTTATTTTGTCTCTTGACTTTTTAATGATGCTGGTCAACCTCTTACATTTTAAGAATCAGGGTGTTTGACCTAATATTTGACCTAATAGTTGTGTAACACTGCTTGTGGTATGAGATTTCAAATTCAACTCCTATGAAGAGGAATTTGATACTTTATGTGATGGTTGTTTATTTCCCTCCCATTATAGGGTTGTGGTGATGGTTTATTTGGTTGTTGGAATTGGGCTTGGTATATTGGTTGTGTTGGTCTTTGTTGACTTTTTAATTATTTTGAGCTAGTAGTGTATTTGAATATGTAAATATTTTTTATAGTTGTAATTACTCTCTTATCAAAAAAAAAAAAAAAAACTCATAAATTTTGAGTCAAGTAGCAATTTAGTGTATTTGCATAACATGGTTTAAAAAACTAATAGAGAATAGGCAAGTGTTTTAGGTGATAGTGTCACGACCCGCTCTCCGTATCCAAGGGTTAAATATTGTGATAGCCAGTAACTGAAATTACCTTCGATCAATTCTTGAGCAAATTAATAAACGAGAGCGGAAATAATATTTAAGTGAGGGTACCAAAATAATTATCGGAGTTTCCATTTTTATTACAAAATTTATTGATAAAAAATCCCGATATTTACATATAAACATATCATAAAAGTGTTGTGTGTATCTATTCCGCACCCCCGTATCTAAGACTTTCCAAAAGTTATTTCTGAATTGCATTGTTTTCTGAAAATTGATAACCAGCTATAAGCATATGACAGAGTGAGAAATATTATACCAAGAGTATTATACCAAGAATATTATACCAAGAGTCACTTAAGGAACCACGTGGCATTGGTTAGCCGGCTTATCCGATAAGCATTTTGATCCTTAATTTATTTATTTTTTCTTGAGCTTATCCAATCCACTTATGTTTATCTACAATGATCCTGCTTAATTTTACATTAATCTTAATTGATAGAATAATTACACAATAACAATGTAAATTAAATTACACTTTATCACATACATCTATAACATTCAATATTTTATTTTACTCTTACAAAATATTTAATTAAACATTTAGAGTTTTTCTCATTTATAATAAAATAATACTAATATAAAATTTAAGAGACAACTTAAATTTTTGAATTGTTACAATCTTCTCTCATTTTAAAAATTTCGTTCTCGAAATTTGTCATATGTGTAAACTATCCGCTGCGCACTCTGATAAATATATATTAGATGATTAATCTGATAGAAAATATTTCCTCAAAATTTTTTTTATCAAAAACAACTCATTGTCTAGTTGTCAAAAATTATTTTGGAATAAAATGAGAAACAATCGGCGACTTTAAAAACTTTTCATTAGTTTTATTTTCGAAAAATAAAAAAAATAAAAAATAAAATAAGAACACAATCAAATAAGCGACTGGAACTGAAATGACAGAATCATATGCAGGAGTTGAAGGAATTTGAGATGAACTCCCATTTCTTTTATCCGTGAACTTTCCACTAATGAAAAATAGTTTTAAAATTAGTATTTTTAAAATTTGAACCCACTTATAAAAATTAGCAATGAATTTTTTTTTTTGAATACTGAACTGGAAATTATATGTATTTAATTATATTATGATTTTGGTGGGTGTGTGGGTGTTTGAGCTCGACATCCTTTGTTTCTTTTCTCTCTTTTACTATAACAAATATAAATTATATCTAATATCCTTCACAAATTAGAAATATATATATATATATATATATATATAAAATCATATAAAATTATACTAATATAATTAAAATCATATAAAATTATAATATAATCAAATTGACTAACAAAATATAATATTTAGGTACTAATTACCCGCTATCCTACTTCTTAAATGTGCGTGTGTCCTATGCTCCAATGATGGTTTATTTATTATTTTATAAACCATTGCTCTGATACCACTTGTCACGACCCGCTCCCCGTACCAAATGGTTAAGTATCGTGATGGCCAATAACTGAAGTTACCTCCGGCCAATTCTTGAACAAATTAATAAACGCGAGCGGAAATAATATTTAAGTGAGGGTACCAAAATAATTATCGAAATTTCTATTTTTATTACAAAATTTATTGACAAAAAAGGCCGATATTTACGTATAAACATATTATAAAAGTGTTGTGTGTGTCTATTCCGCAGCTCTGCATCTAAGACTTTCCAAAAGTTATTTCTAAATTGCATTGTTTCCTGAAAATTGGTAGCCAGCTATAAGCACATGGCAGAGTGAGAAATATTATGCCAAGAGTATAAGGGACACAAAATAACCATAGATAGTTATGTAACTAAAATATTTAAGATAACTTAGTCTGAACAAATAATCCTTTAAGTAGCAAAACTGAGATTATGTAAATAAATAATTATAACCATGGTACCAAACAGAACATAACAGAGGTCACATGAGTGACAGTCAGAACAGAGATACGGATTCAAGAGGTGGCTCGTACGGATTATAGAGGTGGCTCCCACAATAGTGTAGCACTTATCTCCGCACAGCACTTTGCTCTGCACAGAACAGAGGTCAATAGACCCATGACAATAAAGGGCCACAAAGTGACCAAACAGAAGCCGATAGTTATTTAAGTCCCCCAAGGCGTGAGACTCCCGTGGTGGTATTTACAAAATATAATTGTTTATAAGGTTATAGTCAAATATTCTTTGAAATTTAAACAAACATATCCATGAGTTTCATTTTAAACAAATATAGTTCAGAAATTAATCCACGTAACTGAAATATTTATAAAGCATAACTTGTATTAATATAACTAATAAAATACAACTTGTATAAAATAAATTATAATAAATCAAAATATACGTAAAATATATTATGATAACTGAAAATATAATATAACTCGCCTTTATATTAATCTTTTACGGTTATTTCTCCGTTCACCCAAGCTCCTTTCTATTACTAACCGATCACACCTCTTTTTCCTCCTTTTTTTCCCTCTCCTTACTCTCTCCCAGCACCCCTATTTATATGCAATGCCTTGGTCTCTCAAGGAACCACGTGGCATTGGTTAGCCGACTTATTCGATAAACATCTTGATCCTTATTTATTTATTTATTTTTTTGAGCTTATCCACTCCACTGATGTTTATCTACAATGATTCTACTTAATTTTACATTAATCCTAATTAATAGAATAATTACACAATAATATTGTAAATTAAATTACACTTTATCACATACATCTATAACATTCAATATTTTATTTTACTTTTACAGAATATTTAATTAAACATTTAGGGTTTTTCTCATTTATAATAAAATAATACTAATATAAAATTTAAGAGACAACTTAAAATTTTGAATTGTTACAGATAGTGTCAATTTCACTTTTATCCAAATTACACTTTAGTCTTTAACACTCTTGTATTTTTACTAAAACCTCATTTTAGTTTTTCTATCAAATTTTGATAAGATGTTATTCAACTATGCCTAATTGTAACTTGACTCGAAGGGTAATACCGGGGAAAAATATGGTCTGGATTGGGCCATGGTAATACCAGGCAAATTGTGGGCCGAACACATATGGGCCATGGTATCCCGGGTCCACCCAGAAATGATTTTTGCTCGGCAATGGCAAGGGCATGTGGAACCGGGCTACTTTACCTTGTCGGCACGGAGGCCGGTCAAGTAGGGGTTCCACGGTTTATGCGTTGCGCGGTTGGAAAGCACGCATCCATAGCTCGGTAGGAAGGACTTTGGTTGACTGGTATGACCAATCTCAAGCTTGGCTTCGCCGGAATGCAGTTGAGCATGGCTGGAAAGGAGCTCGGTTATAGCGATCCCGGGTTTGTCCCCTTTATGTACAGTGCTCCGGTCGTAGGTTCCGTGGAGTTGGTGGTTGTATGTCTTGTTGTCATCTTTTAGATCCCGTATGTCTGAGTTTTAGGATGTGTTGGGCGTGTTTCGAACAGACTGGTTGAGCCTTAGTCCCTTTCCTTGTTGTCCAGAGTTTTGGTGGTACGCTCGAGCAGGTACCCTTACGTTCGAGTGGAGTTGGATTTTTAGTTGTACGCTCGAGCGGACCATATCACGCTCGAGCAGAGTTTTCACACTTCTAGTATCTGTGCCTCTGCAAAACTTCTG